TAGTTAAACATACACTCACCATATTATCCAGCCATTCCACTTCTAGATATTTACTCAGGTGAAATAAATGCCTACATCCATACAAAGACTTGCATACAAATATTTACAGCAGTCTTTGTATTAGTGAGAGACAGAGAGAGAGGAAGGAAGGAAGGAAGGAAGGAAGGAAGGAAGGAAGGAAGGAAGGAAGGAAGGAAAGGAAGAAAGAAGGAAGGGGAGAGAGAGAAAGAAAAAGAAAGAAAGAAAAAAAAAAACCCACTGAAAACAACCCAGGTGTTCATCATCAGGTGAACGGATAAACGCATGTGGCATGTCCATACAGTAGAATACTACTCAGTGACAAAAAAAGGAATAATGTATTGATACATGCTACCACATGGATAAAGCTCAAAATAAATATGATGGTGGAAGAAGCCAAACAAAAACAGCACACGCTGTATGATTTGATTTACATAAAACTCTAGAAAATGCAAACTGATAGTGGCAGAAAGCAGATCAGTGGTTCCTGGAGATGAGTGAGAGGAAGGGGTATAAGGAGTGATTATAAAGGGGGGCGCCTGGGTGGCTCAGTTGGTTAAGCGACCGCCTTCGGCTCAGGTCATGGTCCTGGAGTCCCAGGATCGAGTCCCGCATCGGGCTCCCTGCTCAGCAGGGAGTCTCCTTCTCCCTCTCCCACTCCCCCCTCTTGTGCTCTTTCTCTCTCTCACTCTCTCTCTCAAATAAATAAATAAAATCTTCAAAAAAAAAAAAAAGGAGTGATTATAAAGGGACTGAAGGGAAAGTTTTGGGGATGGCGGACATGTTGATCACTTTGTGGTGATGGCTTCATGGGTGTGCACATATTTCAAAATTTATCCAGTTGAACGCTTTAAACATATTGAGTCTATTGTTTATTCATTATACCCCAATAGGGTTGTTAAACAACAGGGCAGGTCTTGCTGAGGCAGTGCAGTGGTGCACCCTGGGATTAGAGGAGGCAAGACCTGAGACAGCAAGACCACTCAGGAAGACGCTGAGAAATCCAAACATTCTTATAGAACCAGCCCTACAGGCACCAATTTTATATAAATAACTCTAATACATACTTAAGAATTCAGGGCTTTAAGGGGTTAGCTCATTTGTAGGAAAATAATAATGAATAATAAACAAGGCCTCTACTAGTACATTGGGAAGTTTTGTGCTACTTACAAAAAAGGACTCCTTGGCTCATGGGGCCCTATCACCCATCAGCCGGGCGCCTTTGTGCAGTGTACAGTCTGCACAACCAACCACAGCAGTCCTGACCCTCTAGACGACACAATATGATAGAAAGAGTACTGACCACAAAAATCTTGGCTCTGCCATTAGCCCCATGACCTTTGGTGAGTCCCCTTAAATTCTTTACACCTTAGTTTCTTTCTCTTATTACTTTCCTGTGGGGTTGCCCTGTGGTGGAGATAGGACTATGATGAGGCTTTACAAACAAACATGGTGCCATCAACATGTTTTGACCCATAGGTGAGAAAGAAAAAGCTGGTTCTGGGGTTCAGGTATTACATTCCTTCCTTGGAGGAAAGCTAATAATAACAACACCCCAGGAATTGTTATTAATCTTTATTAAGATGCATGTTATGTTACTGAACAGCTGTCTTGGATCAAAGTGGGAGAGATGTGCTACCTTCTGAAGCCTTTTTCCTTTCAACTCCCACTTGCAGTTCCCACTACCACCCCCTTAAGTACCCAAGACCTGCTGGAAATTTCCTCCCAGTGACATTCACTTCACCAAAGTCCCAGGTTAACCCATCCCTTGCTTCTATCCTTCCATCCTTTCAGTGTGTAGACCATAGTTGGGAGGAATGAGGATTACTTAATGGAGTCACACTCAGGTGGGTCTCTATGACTAGGGCTAACTCCCTTCACTTTTCAAAAGACACTTTCATTTTAAAAGAGATGCTTTTTTACTCCAAAGGATGACTCTCTAATGGTGGAATCTGGTACCAAGTAGCTAGCTCTTCAGGCACAGGATTGAAGGGTGTCTCTCAAAACAAATCTCTAAATTCAGTGTCTCCAAATTTTTCCATGATAAGCCATGTACACCAGCTTTTCAATAGGACTTTCCAAGTTTATCTTTTATATATAAAAGATATATATAAGCCCTTCCTCTCCTTAATAGTTAAACATACTATATATATGTTTATATATATATATAGTATATATATATTTAATATATATATACTATATATATATATAAACTCTAGACTATGCTATGGAAGTTCATATATATAAACATTTATATATAAATATGTATGTAAACTCTAGAGTGCACACTGCACAGGAAGGGAAGAATGGAATCAGATATGGGCTTTGTCTTTTCTAATGTGGCAAGCCGATACACTGATCTAAAGCTGCTGCCGCCCTTGGTAAATCGTCTCAGAGGCTGTTAATGCCTGAAGTTCAAGTTAATAATTCCAGTGATTTAGCTCAATGTACTTGTTAATGACCTAGAGGATGAAGAGAATGGCAGTGTGGAAAAATTTGCCGCTGACATAGAGTGTTTAGGTTGCTAACAGCTAAGGAGAGTTGTGAGGAACCCAAGATGGATCTAATAACTTGGATGACTGAACAAACACGAGGACTGAGAACAGTTTACAGGAAAGGGCAAAAGGTAATAGAGACTGAAAAAAATGTAAGTTCTATGTAACTTAAGCAGCACACACTGATGGACTTAGAATTTCTGTTTGCTCAAAGGAAAAAGACATGCCATGGGAATTCATAAAATATTTCAGTAAAATAATCTAATCTGTAATAGTCCCCCCACCAAAAGCCGTAAGAGTCTAAGTGTGTATTCAGAAAACAGAGGAGTAAACACAGGAAAATATGTGGAGGAAGCTGGGTGCCTCCCTAACACGTTTTCTTCTGCTGACTTTGATCTGATGTTTTCCCCTATTTACCTCCAACTCCACTCCATTCAGAGAAGGTGACTTTTCCCCAGCCCCAGACAATGCGTTAAGATCTGTTGAAACTAGTAGTCCTCAAAGTGTGATCCCCAGATGACCAACAGGAGAACAATGTGACAACTTAGAAATATGGTTCATTAAGCTCCATCCCCAATATATTAAATCAGAAAATCTATTGGTGGAAAACAGCAATCTGTATTTTAACAAGGCCCCCAGGAGATTCTGATTCATGCTGAAGTTTGAGTACCATCGGACTAAATCAATTTTGATAATTCCATTCGCCTTTGCCAATGATTATATTAAGCATAAGAATTGACTCCCTAACGCCTAGTGAGATACAAGTAAAGTCTGCTGGGGATTCTAAGGAAGGTCTTTCTGTCTTCAAAGAAGATATTGCAGCATTTAGCCACACTTGTGTGAGAATGTGATGCCTGGAGCTGCAGCAGCCATCTTGTAGCTACGAGGGGGGCACACCTGAGGACTGTGGAGCAAATTTGTGCCACCAAATTAACCAACCTTAGCACCACTCTACCTTTAGGATGTCTGGCTATGTGAGGAAGTAAACTCCACTTTCAGTCACCTATACCATTCTTTGCATCTGAAAGTACCCCCCAAAAGCACATCCCTTCCTTCTCCATTGTGGTACACAGGAAGCAAACCTCAATAGGCAAATGTTCAGAAACAGTGATACAAAAAAAGAAGAACACATATCTTCTTATCCCTCTCACCTGAACATGTGAGAGCTCTATTTCCTAATCTTAAAGCAAATGTAGTTTTGAGCCTCACTGCTCTTATATACTGTGTTAGAATAACAAATATGTACTTTTCTCACAGTTATTTGTAAAGCGCATTTAGTAACAGAGCTATGTACGAACATAAAAAAAAAAAAAAAAAAAACCACCCTCCTTCTGGGGTCAGCGCACAATCTGCCCCGCCCAGCTCAGGGCTGTGTGTGACTAAAGGACACGTTGGGAAGAAAGTTCAAGGGTGTGGTAGTTCCTGGGCTCCACCTTGGAAAGCTAAAGTTACACCCAATGCACTTTCATTTTCCCTAAAAACCCAGAATGAGCTGACCATTTAAGAATCTAAACTCTTAATAGTGCCCTTCATTATGGATTAAGAGATCACATAGTAGAAGCAAAGCTCATCTCTATTATCACTTTCATAAGAAATAAAATGCCAAGACAGATGAATGGCTGGAGGTCTGCACAGAGAGCCAGAAAGAAGTATTTCTTGCTGACTGTGTCTTGATATCCCTGCAACATGCATTGCTTGGGCCCGCCAACAGAGTGACAAGAAAGAGGGCACAGAGGAGGATGATTAGCCAGATAAATGCCTCCTTTTCTTGCACCGTCTCAGCTTAACTTTAGACAAACTTTTTATAATCAAACCCCTCCAATGACTAACAGCAGGAGCAGATGGGTTTGTCATCATGCCCTTTAGGTCAGGAAACCTAGGCTTTACAGGACTGACAGCAGGAATCATTCCAAAATCAACTGTCCTCCACTGAGAATTCCCTGTAAGCTGTCAAAGAAGGCTGGCTCCACTGAATTCAGCCCTCAGAGTGCAAAAGGGGAGAGAAGATCTCTCAGAGACAAAAAGCAGACCTCGCAGGATTTTAGGGCTTAAGACCAATACCTTCCACTGCGCTCAGAGCCATTAAAGACGCCAGCAGCATCTGGAGCCCAGATGTTCCAAGTGGGTCTCCCTCTGAGAAGTGGCTGTCCCAGTCTGCCCTGGAGCTCAGAACAGGTCAAGAGGGAAGGTACCCATGCATCCAGCTGGGAGGGTGGAAGGGCTTGCAGCTGGGTACAGGCAAGAAGCCATGCTTTTTTATCCAGGCTGGAGCCTTGAGTTCAAGGTTGCTGTGTTTCCATTTCCTCCCGTTGGAAGAGGAGTCTACCCCTGTCTTACGGTGGAGTGAAGATAAAATAGTAGAACTGATCTGATCACGTGGCTTACAAAGTTCCTGGGACACACACAGTCTTACGCACTCATCAAACCCAGGCCTGTTTGTAGCGAGGCGGGGCCATCTGAGTTCTGGCCAATGGAGTGTAGGCGGAAGTGACGTGTCACGTCCAGACCTGGCCCATAAAAGTCCGCGTCAGCCGCACGCCAGTTTCTCTCCCTTATTGACTGGTCAGGGGCACGGGGTCCAGCAGACAGCTCCAAAGCCCTAGGAGATGGCGCAGCCAAGAGGTGGAAGGGCCACCTGCCGAGCAGGAACGGCCACATCAGATCTTGCCTCAATGGAATATATAAATCCTATTGGACCAAGCCACTCTGGAGTTGGTCGCGGTGCTAAGCATTACTTGCCCTACCTAATACAGGTCTTGAATAAATCCTGGATAAAACAACTGAGAGGTAACAGAGCCCGGGGTGGGGAGAGGGGGCAGGGATGGCAGATACATTTGGAGAGATGACTCACAATGCTCAGTAATACATCTTCCGTTCACTTAATGATCCTCCCTGATCAATGCTTTTATGCTCTGGATGGAACCTGCGGGAGGTTGCCTGGTTGTGTGTCACCTCCAGCTGGCTGTCAGTGTCTATACGGGATAGCCAAGGAGGCCGCTTAAACAGACCTTAGGGATTTCAGGGTCTGAAAGAAATTAGCCCAGGCCAATTGCCACCAGTACGTTTTTCTTTTTTTAGAAGGCCATCGTGGTAACACAACCCACACCCCTCCGTGAAACCTGCGCGGTCGCTGCCACCGAATTTATCCACAGCTGATTGTCGTCAAGTGTAGGGAGGGTTGGTGAGTGTATGCCGGGGTCACATCAATTTTTCATTGGCTTAGTAATTAACCTTCAAGATTTTTTATATAAATGTGTTTAATGTGAGGCGAATGCTACAAAATTCTTATTCCAGATTGCAATCATTTTAGATAAATATTTTCATGTCAAAATATTCTGCCAGATATCTTTTATGCATGAATAATCTGATCTGAACAAATTCATTTCAGATGCTCACATATTACCTTGCCTTTTCGGTTTTTTTTTTTTTATTGTGGCAAAATACACATAACCTAAATTTACCATAACTTTTTGAATGTTCAATTCAGTGGCATTAATAGCATTCACAGTGTTGTGCGACCATCACTATTATTTCCAAAACTCTTTCGTCCTCTCAAATGGATGATTTAAGTAATTAATTCCCCATGAAGCACTAATTCCCCACTCCCCTTTTCCCCAACCCCTGGTCACCTCTAGTCTGTCTTCTGTCTCTATAAATTTGCCAATTCTAAATATTCCATGTAAGTGGAATCATAAAATATCTGTCCTCCTATGTCTGGCTTATTTCACTGAGCATAATGTTTTCAGAGTCTATCCACGTTGTGGCGTGGGCCAGAACTTCACCTCTTTCTGTGGCTGCGTAGTACTCCATGGTACACATACACCGCATTGTGTTTATCCATTCATCTGCTGAAGGACATTACGTTACTTCCACCATTGGGCTATTGCGAATAATACTGCGATGTACAAGTATCTGTTTGAGTTTCTGCTTTCAGTTCCTTTGGGTCTATAAACTGAGGGATGGGATGGCTGGCTCATACAGTAATTCAATGTTTAGCTTTTTGAGAAACTGCCAAACTGTTTTCCATAGCGAACCTGCAAGATTTTTAAAATCCAAGTTTAAGAAAAAAATGTCAAAGAAGGCGCGTGTTATGCCCTGGAAATGCCCGAGTGGTTAGAGTGCCAGGTAGATCTGGAGACCTTGTTAGCACAGGGTACGCCTCCTAGTCCCTAACCCTTTCTCCTGAGCAGTCTCGCTAAAGCGCTCACACTGGAATCCTAGATCCACAGGTGAACTGACCGTGAAGCTGAGAAAGCTCAGGAAGCTTCAGAGCAGCTCACTTCCACCAACTCCTTCCAAGGCTCTGGGAAGGGCCCTTACAATGCGGTAATTTTTCTTAAATTTGCAAAATAAGATATTTTAACTTAAAAGTAAGGTATTTTAACTTAAAATCAGTTAAGACCTCTCCCCACTACAACTGGCATTCTACATACCTCCCCTGGTGTTGGGTGGCATTGGAAGGCCCATGGGCATTTTGGGGATCTGGCTCAGGGGAAGTTGAGTTGGGGTTACATTTAATAAGGGCTGGGAGGGTTATATTTATGTTGAATGTGGTTTCTTTTGAACACAGCTAAGTTACTACTGGTCATCCCAGTATGGAAGTACTTCTGGGAATACTCCTACCACCCACTGTGGAAACTCAGCAACGTGATGACCCGAAAGATGTGTGAAAGGGTCTCATGCTACGTAGCAGAAGAAAAAAGGTTTGACATGTACAGAGCCATAAACTAGTCTGTGGTAAATTTTTTCAAACATCAAACGTGTAAAATGACAAGTGGAGATTTTGCTTTTCATCAATGCTGAACCAAAATGGAAGGCCTCTTCTGGTAGGATTTATACTGGATAATGCAGCATATACAATTATGAGTGCACCATATATTTTGTTTCTTTTTAATGAAAATTTCACAAAATAGAAATGGTGAAAATTCCTGTAGTTACTGGGCAACTCTAAATCATGGTACTCTCAGCAGGGAGGGAATATGTTTTTAAAATTCATATATGAAAGAGACTTGAAAGAGGTCTTTCGAAGTTTGATGACAATCGAAAAAAGGGAATTGTATTAGCAGTAATGGTTGAGAAGATGAATGAAATCTTCTAACCTATCAATTATGAAAACCACATTTGGATCAGTTATGCTGGAAGAAATAACTGAATTCTCTTTCTCTTCTTTCTGTAGAAAATATTATAGAATTATTGTTTTATAAAGAGGTGTTTGAAAAATACACAGACCACAAAATGTGTGTTGCAGGGCGGGGGGGGGGGCAGCGCAAGGCAGCTAATAAAAATATATTACTGCCTGGATCATGTAATGTGTGTGGCATTTGTCAGGCTTTTCACAATGTGGATTTGTGATTTCTCATTTGAAACAAAAACTCACTTTCCTAACAAATTTTGTATTTGTAATTTGGGATTCTTAACTTGGACCTGCCTCTGCATACATACATCATGTTTTGCCACCAGGGACTCACCTTCCTGCAAAGCCAGACTCTTTTCTGTGCCTCTCTGGCACGGTAGGGTCCCCATGCTAAGAACGTAGCTGTGCATTACATGGCCATTCAGTGACCTCCATTCCTCCCGACTCCCCTCATTCCGCATCGAACCAGTGTCTCCTACTTCTGAAGCCCCTTCTCCTCCCTGCTGCACTCACCCCCTCCCCCACCGTGTGAGTTACTGTTGCTTGCTTTTCTTCAGTAGCCCCCAGAGATCCCTAGGTCCTAATCCCTGAAACTGTGAATGTTACCTTTCAGGGCAAAGCAGGATTTTACAGTGGGATTAAGTTAAGGGTCTTGAGATGGGAGGTTAACTTGGATTGCCCTAGGGGGCCTTCAATGTTCTGACAAGAGGGAGGAGAGAGAGATGTGACCCACACAGAAGAGGGCAGGGGAGGTGACCACAGAGGCAGGGATTGGAATGATGCTACCATGAGCCAAGGAATGCCAGAAGCCACCAGAAGATGAAAGAGGGAGAGAAAGAGATGCTCTTCTAGAGCTTCTGGAGGGACACCCCAGTGGGGGCCCAGTGAAACCGATTTGCGGCTTCTGGTCTCCAGAGCTGTGAGAGAAGAGAAGTGTGTTGTTTTAAGCCACCTGGTTTATGATAATTTGTTACAGTAGCCATAGGAAACGAATAAACCTCCCAACACAAAGTCTATTCTAAAAGATTAAACTTACCCCAATCTGATCGCTTCTAGTTCCAATATTCTGGTCACGAGACCCCTCTTCCTGGGACCTCCACCCAATTCCTCTTGCCTTCTTTCCCATGTTCTATTTTATTTATTTATTTTTAAAGATTTATTTATTTGAGAGAGACAGAGATAGTGAAAGAGAACACAAGCAGGGAGGAGAGGGAGAAGCAGACTCCCTGCTGAGCAAGGAGCCCGATGCGGGACTCGATCCCAGGACCCTGGGATCATGACCTGAGCTGAAGGCAGATGCGCTTAACCGACTGAGCCACCCTGGTGGCCCTGTTCCTGTCACTCACAGGGACTTGAAGCCCCTCTGTGAAAGCTCATGTACCCCCTGACTCATGCCCTTTGGCCAACCCAGTGGCCATGACAGCTTTGAAATGGTTCCCTCCAGTGAAGCCCTAATGGGTGAGGAGGAAAAGCCTCCCTTTGGTGCATTTCCTCTGATCCAACTCTGTCCCCTTCCTATGGAGTCTCTTCTACAGGGGCTGTGTACTTCGCCAGTAACTTCTGCAACATACAAAACAACATCTTAAAACCTGCCTCCTCAAAGAAGCTTACCTTACTAGGGAAGAATAGGTTGTATCTGCTCCTGCCACATTTTCCTACCTTGTCTCTCCCCAGAGGGGAATGTTGATTATTTATTCTGGAATCCACTAGGAAAAAAAAAGCTCCTGGTTTTTGAATTAAGTAAGTTTCCACATATCTACTGAATGACTGTGTGCAGGAAGCTAGGCTAAGTGCTACAGACAGCTAGGACATGGCCCCTGTTCTTGGGAGCTTGGAGACTCGATTGGGGTGGGAGGAGAAGCAATAAGACAGGCCCATTAATATTTACAATGAAAGTCAGATGTGCAAAATGCCATGACAAAGTGTGATGCAGAGGACAAAAGCGGGGCGCATCACATGGAAATGGGAGTCAGGGAAGCATCTGGGGCCCATTTGAGATGGGGCAAGTTTCCCTGAGCAGAGTAGACCAGTAAAGTCGGGGCACTAATGCAAGAAAGCCCAGACTACAAGGAAATGACACTGGAAAAGACATTTGGGACCATATTTTCGAGTAGGGGAGGGGTCAGTTGGCAAACCCTTTCTTTAAAGGGCCAGATAGTATTTTAGGTTTTGCCAGCCATGTGGTCTCCATCAGAATGACTCAACTCTGCCATTGTAGCATAAATGCAGCCATAAACAAGATGTAAACAAATGGGTATGGCTGTGCTCCAATAAAACTTTATTTACATAAGCAGGCAATGAGCCAGAACCCCAGCTAAGGAAGCTGTGGGCCCGGAGAAGCCACTGCAGGTCTGTGAGCAGGAGGATGACATTATAACATGACCAAAGCTGTGTATTTGGAAAAGCAATCTGGCCATGCGGCAATGCTAGGATTGGAGGAAGTGGAGCTGAGTGTGGAAATAAACCGCCGAGAGGCTGTTGCAGTGTTTGGGGTGAGGGGCCGGAGCTAGGATACTAAGAGCATAAAGGAGAAGGCCAAATGTATAGGGCAGGGCAACTCAGTGGGCGGGGAGGGAGGGACAGAGCCTCGTGAGAAATGGCTTCTGATTGGGAGCTTGGGGACCTGGGATTTAGGGCCTGCAGGGAGAGCTTGTGAGCAACATAATGGTGGGGGGGGACTGGGCTTTGAAGGCGCCATGGACAGTCTGTGCACTCCAGGCCGAGTGGGTGGGCAGCTGGTGTCAGGCCCCGCCGGGCACGGCTGACAGCAGGGCTCCGAGCAGGCGACACCTCACCCTCCCCGGGTCCCGCCAGGCCTGGGCTCCCTGAGCTGCTAGACATCTCGGAGGACAGCCAACACAGAGCAAAACCAGTCCCGCCAGAGGCAGGTTGAGGCCGTGCCAAGTGACCATCGAAGCTGCGTGTGTGGGCCAAATTGCTTTCTAATTACATTGCGCTCCAGACAAGACAAAATTGTGTCTCTTGAAAAGCATGTATGCGGAATCAGGGTAAGCCTAGAGGAGGTCAGGCCTGGTGGAAATCCGGAGCAGGGAGTCATGTTGCAGAATTCATTACCACCCTGTGATGCTGGGAAGGGAGAGCCCGGAGACGAGGCAGGGGGACGCTGGGCGCAACTCACTGGAACGGTGCGGACGCGGCCCGAAGAATCGAGCACATTTAAACGGAGTAGGTGATTCTGAAAGAAAATGTGCCATTTCACCCTGAACATCTCATCATTTCTCCCTGGAACTTCATATAATGCCCTCCTGGAAAAACCATATTAAGAATGTTTTTTCTTGCCCATGTCCTATAGCAAACACTCTCCCCGCGGCTCTGCATGCTGAGACAATTTAGTTGAAAAGGAGCCACCTTCGAATTTGCCACATTGATGTTTGACAAAGAGGCAGTTTACTCACTAGTTACACACTTTCTCGCTGAGATGCAAACGTTGTTGGGCAGAGATTGAAAATACTATTTTGATATTTTATGCCACTTTCTTGGGAATTTATTTTAGAAGCAGAGCAATAAGAGAATATTCGGACTTAGAAATATAAATATAAAACTACCACTTGGGGTTATTTATTTCCTAGGCAATCAATCGGGAAATGTTGGGAAATATATTCAAGGATGGTGTCAAATAGGATTCCAGTCAAGTGAGTAATCTTTCCATTTGCTTTTCCTGTGTTCTATGATTTTTTTTTAAAGATGAAAGAGTAAAAGAATTAGAAGGCACTCTTGAACTTGGATAGTAATTATGACTTTGAAACTGTCAATTTTTTAAAGGGATGAAATGGCTTTAATTAAGCTGAAACAAACACTGATAGTGAAACCGGATACTGCTCATTGTATTCATAGGCATGATCATTTGTTATGTAAATAATTATTTTTTTTTACTGAAGTAGAGTTGACATACAAGGTTACATTAGTCTCAGGGGTACAACATGGTGATTTGACATCTCTACGGGTTATGCTATGCTCACCACAAATGCAGCTCCATCTGCATCACCACGCACCATGTTATTACAATACCATGGCCCATATTCCCCATGCTGTCATACGCACAACATTTGAAATACAACTGGTGATTCCAAGACTTTTTGGCAATTCTCGTAGTTTTTTCAGGATGGAGGGTCAACCAGTCCTTATCTAGTGTCTTCAGCCGGTCCCAGATGGTCCACACCCAGTACGTCCCACGCATTTCAACGGCTGAGTTTCTATGGTACTTGCATACCAAGTGCTCCGCCTGGACTTTCTGGAAAAATGGTTAGGAAGTGACTACAAGTACAAGTCAGGTGTGGGTCCTCTATGTGTCCTTCCCACCGGTGCCATCACAGAGAACAGACTGGTGGAAGAGCTTGCCTGGCTGAGTCAGGCAAAGAGAGCAAGTATCATGGGCAAGGGGATGAGGAAGGATGTGAGTCTGGTCTTCTTGCAGTGCTCTTCCTGGTAAGGAGTTCCTCTTCCTGGATGGACTGTGTTCAGGGTTAGTTCAGCCTTTTGAAAATCCTGATGGAACAGTCCAGGTGTTTGGGTCAAGAGCAGACTCTGCTTTAATATCAGTTCTCCCCTTTTGGAGACCCACATTGGCCATGGGCCTATGGATGCCTGCCCGCACTTGAAGGCACATCATGAGCCAAGTCTTGGAAACCAGAGCGCCATGTTCCTGTGCCTACAACCAGGTGAATAAGAACTGGACCTCAGACCAAATCAGCTACTCCCAGCACTGCTGGGGGGGTGGGGGGAGGTCAGTATAGTTCAAGGTGAACTGAACACAAGCCCGGCTTTGTGTGCTCTCAGCCCTGGCGTCTGAGAGAAAGGCAGCTCTCCTCCTCCCGAAAGGCCTCTCACACAGGCCTGCTCGCTGATGACAGGAGAAAATTCAACTGACAGGCAGATTGTGGAATAGGTGAGGTTGGCTTCATTTTTCTCTTCTGTCCCTTCTTATGACACTCCCCCCAGATACCCTCTTCCTTTTTTCAGGGTCCTAAGGACCTTCTGTTCTTGACCACCCTTCTCCATCCCCTCTACCAATGGCCTAAAAAGCTCACCCTCATGTAAGAATCTGTATGAGTCATTGAGATCTTAGTGGGAAATTTTCAATGAGCCTCATCTCCTTTCATATTGGCATAGAATCCTTAGCTCAGACGGTGGAGTTAAGGATTTCAGTTTCTTGTTTAAGGATTTCAGGCAGCAAACTGGCAGAGGGACATATGAGGAACATCTCTTCATGCAGATGGCAACCCAAGTTTGGCCTCACTATATCCATACCCTGGGCACATCGCAGGCAAGATTGGGAGGCACGAGATAGAAACAGGCTGATTCTTAGAGAAGAAATTTGTATGTGAAAAGTCAGTTCATCCATGCTAATTTGGCTCAGTTCCATGGTCTGGACCATAGTACCTGGCCTTTAGAAATAGAAGACAAGTGGAGATAATTCTAAGGTCATTCTCAACAGATAATGAGGTATCTACGTCGTTGTGGATCACAGACACCTCCAACAAACTCTGCCTGATTTCCCTCTCCGGCCGATTCTGGTTTGGCCTAAGGAAAGCCTGAGTCCTGGTTGACACAGCTCTTGTGACTGTGGCCTGAGAAAGGAAGTGACTTGCTGTGATGAGAGGTTTCCCTGGTGACATCCACCCAGCTGGCCACAGTTGGGGCTCATCTGGGGCCTGCACATACAGGATATCAGAATGTGCCAAGATCAGCAAAGATAAGACCTTTGCACAGAATTCCTCTATCCTGAGGAGCAAGGAGGCAGGACTCAGTGACAGATCTGAGCAGCCCTGGCTTCTAACATCTCTAGCCCATGGAACCGAACTGCACTCTGGGAGTAGCCTGGTTAAAGAGATGAGAAGAGACAAGTCAAGGTTGTAGAACTGGGGGTAGTTTGTGATGTTTATTCTTACAGATGGCAGGATGAGGGCCTCCTCCTGTGGGCGGAGCCTGCTGACACTCCCCGACCAACTCTGTTGTCAACGGGACCCGCCTCTGACTTGTTCCAGAAGCTGAATGGCTGCTCTTCATCCTCCACATGGGGGCCCTGGACCATTTGTTGTAGGTCAGACTCTCCTGTGTGTGCATTAAAACAAACAAACAAACAAAAAACCCCCTGCCCCGCCTTCAGTTAGTGCTTTGCTGTACAAAACAAGGACTAAGAAAGTTGGAGGAGTTGAAGATGATACTTGAACTTTCACAACAGATGTTTTTGCATTTATTTTCCCCCAGGAGGATAGTCAATGCAAATTGTTCATTTGAGCAATTTCCATCCCTTTTGGATGGCCCCTATTCCTCTTGCTGTGAAATGTGCATGCTCTTCAACTAAATTGTATGGGATGGTTTTGAAAGGAGAAAACCTAGTTTGCATACTTCAAATTAGAGGTCCGCATTAAAGTGTGCCCAAATCAGAGGCTCACACCGCCCCAGTCACAACCGACTCGGGCTCTTAGGGAGGTAGATGCTTGAGGCTTAGCAGTTCTGATACCCCAAAGAGGTGGAAGGAGATCTACTGGCACTTATAAAAAATGTATAGATCATTATAACATGTTTTGAAATTTTAAGCGGAGCATCTTTCTTATGCAGGTGTACTAGGGATCAACATTTCAAAGCCCCCATCTCCACGAAGGCTGGGCTCAGGCCAGCGAAGGGTATCAAGAAAGAGGGAGGAATCCTAATTAGGTCTTCCTTCCTCAGCATTGAACTACCTTCCGCAGCTGAGCTGCTGACACTCACTTCCTCAGCAAATTCTGTTTCCATGGAACTCCAAGGCAAGCAGAAAACTCTGGAAACTGAAACCATGAAACCTACGGAGTTCCCAGAGGAAACTGGACCACCCGGAACCTTTCTAAACCCGGTGATCACTGACCAAATTATGAGTCAGGAAAATGGTCTTTGGTGAATGAGCATTTCTGAGGTCTCGGAATGTTTTCCTTTGACTGCGAATGTTCAGGCTCAAGTTTTTGGTTTTGCATCTGGATTAGAAAAAAAAACATGGAGTGTAATTTTCTCCGCCGGAGAACAGAGCAAAAGGACAATGACTGTCCCGAGTGCTTCAGGACCACGTTCCTTCTCCTCGTCCAGCTGCTTCGTGGTTCTCTGGTGACTCTCACTCTTTCTAGCCACCACGCCGGGACAGCCGTGTCGCAAATGTTTCCCCTCATGCTGGCCCTCCAGCAGCTCAAGCACACAGACTTTTGGTGACAGGGATTTTCAACTTAGCTGTAACGTTTCACTGTTTTTCTCAAGTGGATAAAATGTCCTGACTTCCTTTGTTTCTAATTGAAGACATATGGGCAGAGGATGACCAGCTCCCTCGTTTTACCTCCGTGTAAGAGAGGGTGGCCTCATGGCATCCTAATTTGCCTGTGACCAGTTTGCTGGGCAGTCCTAAACAGGCCACCTGATCTCTCCGCAACCTGAGAGGAATATGCACCTTGATGATTGGTGTCCTGCGCTCTTTCACTGCTGGGTGATATCGAGTGGTAATAAAAATGCTTTAGAAGCAACGCTGTGGGTTGTCAAAATGCCCATCCATCACCATAAGCAAATTTATTCCATAACACTTCAGGTCCTTAGAAGTAAATTGAATAACTGCAAAAAGTGTCTTTGAAATAAAAGGGAGAAGGATCAAGTAATAGCCTGATCCAAATGGTGAGTTAACTACCCTCTGGGAGTGGAGGGTTTTTTCTACTTGGGAGGCTTTAACTCTGTGAGTGCAGGAGTGCTAGGAAAGCAGAGACCAGGAATACGTTTCTGTGCTACCAAAATGCAAGCTACTAGTTATATTGGGTACTTTGTGCCTCTTCCAAAGGAAAAAGAAAAAAAAAAAAAAAATATATATATATATGCACTGAAACAAGTCACAGTTCCTGCATAGTTAATGTCAGGCTAATCTTTCCAAATGAATCAGTGTTCAATTAATGTAAGGGGTTTTCAGATCTATTGGTGGTGAATGCCAATCATTGGAGGAGAAGGAGCTAGTATTTAGTGAGCACTTCCTCTATGCCAGATACTATGCCAAATGCTTGTATATTAGCTAATTAAATCCACACGAACTCACGGAGTAGGAACTCACTTCCTCCATTTTAGGGAAAACAAAACTGAGTTGCAAAGACATTAGACACCTGCCCAAAGTCACATTACTTGGAGGAGACAGAGCTAGAACATGAACCTCGGCAGCGTGGCTTCGGGCTACAGTCTGAACCGTGAGCAACGCTGCCTCCAGGCTTCCTATGCTAGTCTGAGGGAGGAGCTCTGCCAAGTTAGAATTCTGATTCACTGGCCATTCATTGACCTGGAATCCAGTAGTCACTCAGGAAACACTACTGCCCTCTCCCATCCTTTCCTGTCGATCCTGCCTCACAGACATAAAGGAGGATATATTTTCAAGGAAGAATCTTCTGAGGGTCAGGAAAGATTAAGAGCAACCTCTAAGAACAAAGAAAGAGGATCTTTTTTTTTCTAAATCACATGAGGATTTAAATGGGTAGAGGCTTTGTCAGTTGCATCTGAATAAAGCTAGGAAAAAAACAAAGTGCATTGCTTAAGGTAAATGAAAAAAAAATAAAAATAAGAAGTAAGGGGCACCTGGGTGGCTCAGTCGTTAAGCGTCTGCCTTCAGCTCAGGTCATGATCCCAGGGTCCTGGGATCGAGTCCCACATCGGGCTCCCTACTCTGCAGGAAGCCTACTTCTCACTCTCCCACTCCCCCTGCTTGTGTTCCCTCTCTCGTTGTCTCTCTCTCTGTCAAATAAAATCTTAAAAAAAAAAAAAAAAAAAAAAAAGAAGTAAAAGGGTGGAGCCTTTCAGTATTTCTAAATGTGTGAGTCCCAAAATGTTGATGGTAGCTGCATTAGATATTTTGGTAATGATCTTTGTCACAGTCTAAAAGAACTAGTCATCCCCCTCAGCGTGACTCACCAGAAATGTGCTCAAAGCTTCTCGTGTTTAATACACATGGAAAATAGCACATCCACCTGCTAATGGAAGCCCCCTGAAGTGGTTCCCTGGGGATCCACGGGTGACTACGTTGTTACATCTTCCTGGGAGTGGCTTTTTTCTTTTTTCTTCTGGAAGGAGGTCAGAAGCCAAGAGGCAGTTTCTGTCCTAGAACATACTGACCCCGGATTGAAACCTATTACAATTCCAACCCCTTGGACCCAAGTCCCCTGAAAGGAGAACTGTCCCCAACCTTCAGCAGGCAGGCTCAACTTGCTGGCAGGACAGAGGGAAGATATGTTGGCAGGAAGGGTCAGAAAAGGGCCTCATGCTATAGTCACACACCCTGGCTCAGCCGGGTTCTTTGCAAATTGCCACTGATAAGCTGTTGCTCTGAGCTTTGTCCATCACTCATGATCATAAACCTGAGGTACATTTGGTTTTATCAGGATAAGTAGTGTGTTTTTCATGGCTTTGCTGATGGTTATCCATACTCAGAAGACCCTGAAAACCATGAGCTGGCCGCCCCCATGAGAAGGATCCCAAATCCCAGTTTCCACTGAAGGAGACTCCAGCAAAGAGTTTTTCGGGGGCTTTGTGCTTATGTGCTTTTTTTTTTTTAGTTTTGGTTTTGTTTTGTTTTGTTTTAAACTGGTTAGCGCTGTTCACAGAGTCCTGAGGAGGATTTTTGCTCTGAGCCCTGGCTCCTGGGACAGCACGGCCCCTCCACCACATCCTGCCTCCTCACTTCCTCCTCGCCTTTCCCAGCTCCAGAAGCCAAGATGGGAAGTCTCTCACGACCCTGTGGCTTGGCCGGGAGGAAGCCTGAACTTGATACAGCTGGCTTTCCTGGGGCCTGGGGAGAGTGTTTACCCCTGAGTCTGTGCTTCTCTGCTCACCTATTTTTAGACGGGTGCTGCAGACCTTCCTGAGGGCTCCCCCACAGGTCTCTTTCGGGGCGGGGCCGGGCCAGGGATGGGCCCCCCGGGCCGACGGGACTGTTGCACACCTGAGCAGGGATCCGGGCAGCAGTTAAATGCGGTTTGCTTTAACGTCAAAAGGAAGAGAAATAAACACCCTAAACCGACTCCCTGCCTGTCTCCCCAGAACAAAGGTCTGAGTTTTCTCTTCTACTTCAGCAGCCAGCCGTGGAGGGGAGCTGAAGACCCGGGACCTGGAAATGTGCTCACATCGGAGGGGCAGGCAGAACGGCGGGACGGTCGTAGTCAGGACCGGGCAGGGCGCTGGGGCCACGCCTCGGCTGAGAGCTCCCCTCCGGCGACCCTCTTACCACACACTCCCTCACCCTCGCCAGACCACACCGGTCCCTGGGCTCCCGCACTGGCCACCTGCTGCGTTGGCGGAACTGTCCTTGATGATCTGCTCTGTGCCCTTCGCGACCCAGGTCGAGCGCCACCAAAGCCTCCATCACCTCCGAACAATCGATGCGTGGCTGTGACCCTCACATGACGGAGCTGCGTCGAGGGACAGAGACCATGTGTGTTCGTTTACCCTGGGAGTGTGCCCGACAGTGTGTGTGTGAGGCGGGGGTTGGGGGACATGCGGGGATGCGTGGCAGATGGGGCAGGAGGTGTAGCTGGGGGCCGGCTTGTGAAGCATCACAGGTGCTCCCACAGAACCCGCGTTCAGTCAAAGACGAATGAATGAACGAACCCATGACATGGGACAGAAAGTTAAAGACACAGTAAATAGCCACAACGGGAAAAAATAAAACTAGCTCATTCACGCTCTTGGTTCTATTTGGGCTTATAAAGCTCATTAGTTTAAGTAAGACTTTAGGAATTGACTGTATTTATCAGTTCAAGAGACTCATGGCACCTAAAGCAGGTGCCAAGTGCTACAAGTGCAAGATTAAAACATAATCATGAGATGTGGAATACACTGTCTCTGACTCATCACCGGTGTCGGCCCCACCAGGTGGAATATCATCTCCATATCATATCAGACTTGACAGTAGAAATTAAAACAAACAAACCGGAATTCATAAGCTGGCAATGGCCTTTGCATGATCCATCACCAGTCACTCAAGCGTGATATTTTTGTGATGTCTGATGATGTCTGTGGATCACCACAGCTTACTCCTGCTTAGTCCGGGACAGGCAGAGCAGGAGGGGTCGGGCTGGGAGGGGGGTGGGTGGGGGAAGATAGGCAGCCGGGGAGCAGTCTAAGCGGGGGGGGGGGGGGGGGGGGGCAAGCTGGAGAGGCAGCGGCAGGTGGGGCTGTGCCCTTTCTGAGGTCAGGCCTCTAACTGTCCTGCCACACCGCTCCCACACCTGTGGGCACTTGATAAAAAGAACATGTCCCCTCCCACCCCGCCCCTGTTTGAGCTGTCTCTGTCACAGAGCCCCATTTTTCTCGGGGGTGTCATGCTGACTTCTTCCTCTCTGTCTAGCTTCTTTGGGTGGCTGAGTCCTCCTGCCCAACACTTGGATTCCACACTTTCCTGACTGCTTCTTTTCCGACTCCTCTGTCAACCCCACACACCTTGGCCCACAGGAAAGCCATGTGCTCAGTCCAGGTGCCCAGGAGTCTGCCCTCTGTGGCCTGGGGGCCCTAGGTCTCCACTTGACTAATGAGGGAAATCAGACAGGCATGAGGTATGACCGCAAAGCAACACCAGAAGGCAGGATTTTAGAGCCAAGGGTAGAGGTCCGGTGGCCAGGTAGGTTCAGCTTGGGGGTTGAGAGTTGGCATGGGGGCCAGAGTAGGCCTGACCCTATGACTGGGAACAACCCCTCAGGAAGGGACAGTCTCTCATGGCCATGAGCATGAGTGTTACCCCTGGCCCTGGTCAGGCACTGTCCACCTTCAGATGACTCTCCAGTTTGGGTGAAGAGGACCTCATGGTTATGCTGCCCCACAAAAAGGATCTTGAGTTCTACAGAATTCTGGAAAGATCACTAGAGCAATGATTCCTAACCCAAGGGTGTAATCAGAATTACCCTAGAAGTTTTTACAAATCCACACGTCAGGGCCTTACTCTGGACCTGGCAAATCAGAATCTCAGATGGCTTTGGGGTAGGGTGGGCAAGCACCTATGATTTTAGACTCAGATACAACCTGCCACTCCTTCCGCCAAGGTGGGTACCATGTTAGTTGTGCCATTTTGGGGCCAGAGACCATGTCTTCTTACTTTGTACTTAGCACAGCTGCTCCCCCATAATAGACCTAAAACAATAGGTGTTGAATGATTAAATGAATGAATATGTGAATGAATGAACAAACACTTCTGGTGACTGAAAGAATGGTTGATTCTGTCAACAAACACAGGGGAAGAATCAAGGTTCCCATAATAGATTTTAACTACAGTTGTAAGTAAGCCTTCCAGTTATCCATTCATAAGAACAGCTAAATATGACAACACTAATGTGTATTTTATCGACTAGTGTGGCCGGGAATATATGGTATTACTGAACAAAACAAGGATTTGTATTAACATCATAGATGAGAGTGTAAAATGAAAGAAGGCACTCTACCTAACTCACAATTAATTATATAATCTGAGGCTTAATTCTGGCTTTGGAAACAATGAGAACCGTAATTACATGTCTAAAGCCCAAAATGGAATCCCACAAGTGTTTGACAAGCAGAACATAAGGATGATGGAGTGGTTTACCCATGAGCTTGACCACAGGGCAACCCTGGTGAGTCACGATTTCAGGCTGTGGTAGGATTTCTCATTATCCTCCATTCTTCTATGGTGAGTATATTGAGCTCTGGGCCACTTGATGGATGTGACTCTGTTTGTGAATTCAGGCTGGCCTGCTGTCTTGGCGGATCTGACCCATATATAGAATAGCCATGCAAATTAGCATGGGCCTCTGGCCAGAAAAAATTAATCCAGACCTAAAAGCAATCAAGTAAAAGGTGTCAGAGGGCAAACAAAGAGGGAAATATGACTGGGAACACCTGGCCCTCTAGTTTTCAGGTTTCCCTAGCTCACCACCTTGTGATTTTTTTTTTCTTTTGTCACTAGAAAACCCACAAACGGAATAGTTGGTGGAAATCTCCAGATACTTATGGGGTGAGAAAATAAGTTCACATTGAAAGTTGAATTGAGGGATTCGGAGAGCCTCTCCCCCACCCCCCCAGGTCTGGAGGGGCCTCCGGGCCAATCCTTAGTGTTGATCTCAGCGCCCTGTTGTGTCTGGCTAGCTCTGACTAGCCACTGGGTGGTTCTAATCATCTGTTTTACGCTGTTTGTCTGTCCCCCCCATTGGACTGAAAGTTCCTCGAGGCTGAGAACCATTTCTGTCTTCCCCACCTGACTCCCAGGGTGTGGCACAAGCATTGGACAAGTACTCATTAAACGAATGGATGGATACTGCATGGGGATCCTGCCCCAGCCTTCTTGTGACAGGAGAAGGCCGAGGGCCTGCCGGGGCTCCCTGGCCCACAGTTTACAACACGCTTTTCCTTCACAGAGGTCCCTGCTGGCCCTGTGGCTCTCACCTCCCCCCGCCCCCGCTCTGCCCCAGGATGCTTGCACCTCCCTGGCAAGCTGCCCGGTGAAGCACCACCCTGAAACATGGAGACAGGACGGGAGAGGCACAGACCCACCTGAGAAGGAAACGCAGGGGCCGAGGCCGAGGGTGGGCTGGATCCAGAGAGGCGATGGTGAAGAGAGAGCCCAGGAGGGAGTCCCAGGCTGGAGCGCTGAGGGGCTGGAGGTGAGGCAATGGGCAGAAGGCCAAGGCTATGGAGAAGGAGACTGACCACGGAGGTGCCCTGTTCCACAGAAGAGACCACTGACCTGCCTTCCATAGGGGCACAGCTGATAGGAACAGCGGTAAGAATAACTAATAGTTACGGAACTCTTGCTACGTGCACTGTGTGGAGTAGCCTCCTTGGGGGAGTAATTGACCCATATGAGGGACTGGTAATTGTCAGAGGTTAGAGGTCAGAGAGGTTTGATGGCCGGGATGGTATTGTCACCGGAGAGCTGGGAATGCCTCCGGTCTCTGTCCGTCTTTCCTCCGCGCATGAGGTCAGTGTGTAATGACACACAAGGAATAATGACAGGATGGCAATCAAAAGACCACTTTATTGTTATCTCCCAGTTGCCCCAATAGAGAGCTCACTGGATAATCTGGATCGTATCCATGGTTTAGACTTAAGGCCAAACAACTTAACATCCCCACCCTCCATCAAAACAAAATGAATCACAGCACTAGCAAATGAAGAATGTCTGTAGAGCACCCCCTGACCTCGCTGATGAAGCCAGCAGTGTCCTGGACGAGGTCGATCAGAAGAGAGACTGCCTGAGCACGCGTCTTCAGATGATGGTGGCCTGAGTCTCGCCGTTCTGTAAGCCTCTCTTCTGCAGAGGGGAACGATGTCTCACAAGGAAGGAGCAAGGCCAGGATGCAGGTGAACAGGCAGAAGCATGAAGGCACGGGAGGAAAAGCATCCCTCCCCTATATTAATAATAATGATGATGATAAATATTCAGATGAGATCATTTCCAGAGTGCATTTAAGTATATTGGTCAATCTTTTTTTTTTTTAAGATTTTATTTATTTATTTGAGAGAGAGAGAGAGAGAACATGAGCAGGGGGCAGGGGCAGAGGAAGAAGCAGACTCCCCACTGAGCAGGGAGCCTGATGCGGAACTCGATCCCAGAACCCTGGGATGGTGACCTGAGCTGAAGGTAGATGCTTAACCGACTCAGCCACCCAGGCACCTATATTGGTCAGTCTTTATAACTATCACCTTCGGTAGCCTATTATTAGCCTTAGAATAAGCAAACTATTTAAGAGATTTCTCTAAGACCACAAACCTAGAAAGTGGCAGAGATAGGGCTCAATATCAAGAGGGCAAAGCCCACCAGCTTTCTGTCTGCCACATGGGTAATTAAGTTACTCTAGCTGGGAACACGAGTTGAATGTAAGGTCAGGCCCTGACTCCGTGCCAAGCATCCCAGCCAAGCCTTCTCCCTCCTATCACCGGTTCTTCTAAGTGTCTGTTGGCACCTTACTCTCTCTTCCTTGCTGGCTCCCAGCAGGGGAAATTCTCTAACAGGCTATACTTTTCCAATGTATAATTACACATAATTTAAAATTTTTCCAATAATGGATTAAAATCCCAAATATAGAGGTTAGTCACTAGTCTAGGATTTATGGCAGTAAGCACCACCTAAATATATTGGCAACTTACTGTAAATAAAATAGCATGGTCTAGGTGCTGAAGTTAAACAGATCTAAGAATACGGTTATTTATTACAACAGAAAGAAGTCAGTTCAAATTACTGAGAGAAAACATGGATTATGTAATAAATGATGATTAACTGACTAGTTAAAAAGGAACTTTATCTTATTTCTTGCCATCAGCATATAGATGCATCAAATATTTCAGTATAAAAAAACAAAGCCACAAATGTATGGGGTAAAAACATGGATGAATATTCTTACAATCTTGGAATGGGGAAGGGGTTTTTTTCACCCCAAGATGATACTGATTCAGCATACAATTTTATATTTATTTTTTTTAACTTAAATTCAATTGGCCGACATATAGTACATCATTAGTTTCAGATGTAGTATTCAACTAATTTATCAGTTGTGTACAATTTTCAATTTAAATAACATTTAAGGAGAAATCATGAACTGGGAAAAATTAATTGCAAGCTGTATCACAGACCAAGAGTTATTATCTTTCCTATACAGGAACTCCTATAAATCGGTCAAAGGAAACAGGCCCATAAAAATGGGAAAGGATACATATAGGCTTTTCACAAAAGAAATACCAAACATATGAAAATATACTACGCCCTTAATAATAAATAAATAAAATAGTAAGTATGGTCATACAAGTAAAACAATAATTAAAGTGTGCGTGTGTGTATGTGTGTGTTTACTCACCAAATAGAAGGAATAAAAAGGCTGAGAACGCAGCGTTGGTGATGTGCTGGGCAATGACTATTCTCAGGCACTGGGAGTTGGAAAGTGAATTGGCATCCCTTCTGGAGGGACGTTTAGTAATATACACCCCAGTTTAAAATATATACACTAACTCTTAGCGCAAGATTGCCAATTCAAAGAATTTATTTTGATTGTGTTAAAACATATGCACTGCACTCTAAAATTTATGATTTTAACCATTTCTAAGTGTCCAGTTCAGTGGCATTAAGTACATTCACACTGTTGTGCAACCATCACCACCATCCATCTGCAACACTTTTTTTCTCTTCCCCAAATTGAAACTCTGTGCCCATTAAACACTAACTCCCATCCCCCACCCCGGCCATTGCCCTTGGCAACTAGGTTCTACTTTCTGTCTGTCGGAATTTGACTACTCCAAGAATTTGTTTGAAGGAAAGAACTGTACAAGAGAAATATATATATATATATATATATATATGCTCAAAAGATATATTCATTCAAAAAAAAGTATTTCTGAGGACGTACTATAGGCTAGGTGGTAAACAAGACAGACCAAGGTACTTGTTTTCTGCACAAGTTGTGATCCAGAGAGGGAAGGTCGAGCACAAACAAGCATGTAAGCAGTGAAGCATTAGGTTTTTATGCTTTTATGAAGAAAATAGATTAATGTGATAGTGATTGTGGAGGGTCCTTCAGCTAGGGCCGCAAGGAAAAGGCATCTCAAGCACTATTTACCATGAAAAACAAATTAGAAAAATCTGAACAGCTAAGCGATATCCCTGGTAAGGCTCAGAGTCCACCTGGCCGGATGTCAGTACATGTCAGTTCACCGTAGACTCTAAGAACCTTTTTCAGAACTAACTCTGATCATTCGGTGTGCCTTCTGGAGACTATTTTCCCCGAGAGAAAGAGGTTCCAAGATTGGAGGGGTAGAAACTAATCCACCAGGGTACGTGCCGGTGCTGCTTTATTCCGAGAAGGAATGTAGAGCTGACAGTTTCAAGTGTTTGATGTCCAGCCCCTCCTAAAACTGTAAAATAGCAGCAGGCCGATCAAGAGGCTGATCTAAATCTTTTCTCTGTGGTTTTACTTTTATTCTGGCAGCCTGAGCGACGCTGGAAAAAAAATTACAGTGTGTGCGCGGGAAACATACTCTTCCCTCTTTCTTGACTAACTGACATACTGGAGAGTAGGCGGGAGTAAAGGGCAATGGCGCCGGTTCTGCTGTAGCCGAAATCCATGGAAGAAATCAGCATCAAGGGCCTGGCCTGCCCTCAGCCCGAGGCAGGAAACTCAAGGGGAATATAACACTTTGCTCCTAAGTAATACCACTGGAATAAAAGCATGTTTGGGATGGCTTTTGGCTTTAACTTGGAATTTCTGTTTCATTGCTTCCAGAAAGAACTTTTTTCCCCACCTAAAGTTCTTAACTTGTATTTCAGAAATTTTTGTAGCTGTCTAAATACGATGTATACAACTGGCCTTGAATTAAAGCCGTATGTCCTCAGAGTATGCCGAAGAAAAGATTCAGGATCTGTTTTAACAAGACCCTAGGACGGCAGCTTTGTATAAAAGCCACAGGCTAGAGACCTCGCTCCCTGACTTATTAGCTGTGTGTTCTTGAGTGGATTATTTGACCTCTGATTCTGTAAAAGAGGAGGTCACCCGAGAACTTACTCAGAGGGGTTTTGCAAGGATAAGGTGCCAGAACGTGAAAGGCACGGTGCTAGCACGCGATACAGCTGTCTCCTTTCCTGGGCTTCCTGAGTCTGGCATTACCGGCACAGAGTAGAAAAAGACGAAAATGGAAACCCAAAGTTTATTTTTGTCCGAGTAACTTGGACATGGTCCCACCGATTCCCCCTGTTGGTTTTCAGCCATACTCCTCTCGTGCTATCTCCTACACTGAATTTCACCATGAATTGGAGCGTTATCTTCAGCTTCAAAGGGACTTAGACTAACCAGAGCATCTGTAGATAACTTGGGACGGTGCAGGAGACTCAGACCCACGGCAGTGGGCGGGGGGGGGGGGGGGGGGGGGGGGGGGGGCACGACAAGGGACTGCTCAAGGATCTAGAGATGTTTCAGCTGGGAGAAGACTCTGAGGGGACCGAGCGTTGTCTCCAAATTCTTCAAGGATAATACCATGTGGAAGAGAGATTAGATTTATTCTGTGTGGCTCTGTCAGTGGAGACAGATTTCAGTCTTATATATAGGAAAACTCTAGTTAAAAAAAAAAAGATTGTCAAGGAAGGATGCTATCTTCTGAGGTAGAGAGCTCTAGCAGGACTCTATCACAGCATAGCTAATCACTCCCTGGGAATGGTGCAGGGAATTCTGTATCAGAAAAGAGCTGGATGAAGTGCCCCCTAGGGTTCTTTTCCAGGTCAGGGAGGCTGTAATTCAAATAGCTACATAAGCGGAACATTTTGCTGCAGGAACGTCAAGAAGAACAGCCATGGCGAGGTGCAAGGCACGTTCAGGCACGCACATATTCTGCTTATGTGTGAACTGTAACCTTCTAAAACAAAGGAATGTCATGCATATTGAAAAAAAGGGCTTTTTAACTGCTAGAAATGAAAATGTTCATACTTTAGACTACCGTCTCATATTTTATAGGTTCATGCAGACACGGGGGCCAAATGAAATGAACCAAGATCGTAGGCATTAAGTTACACTTTAATGTTATCTTTTTTCCCCTGTGATTTTGACACAAGTGATTAAAAATGAACCTGGACCTTTGACCTACTCTTTTGTTTTGTTTCTTTTTTCCCCCCCTATTCACCTGTAAACCTCTGCTGATTTTCATAGAGCCTTGGTCAACTGCTTTTAACAGCTAAACATTAAAGCCAGTGAGAGCATAAACAGGAAGCTGGTGTTTAGGTGGGAGTTCCTAGGAATTTTATACTACTGACCACAGAGGCCAAGAGAGAAAGGAAATAGGAAAAACAGTGTAAATACCTGGGTGACTAATGACTTTGCACAGCTTAGCTGGCTTTTCTGAACATAATGCGAAATCTCTTCTAGGGGAAACACCCTGAGAAATTTTCAGGACCCTGCAGGGCATCGAACGGCAGATACATGGGTGTTTACTGCAGGCGGTTAGTTGGTCGGTTTTGTTCACCGACTACCGCGTAGAAAGATTTTCTGCCGCTTTCTCCAAGTGATCGACTCCATTTGCATGCGTGGTGCAGGCATTTTGCCGAGCGCCGAGCGCCGGGGTTCCCAGGCCTCCGATTGTAAAGGATTGTAAGGCCACCCCGTCCCTCGCTCACATGGATAGCGCCTAAGAGGATTTAGAATCAAGTGGGCACATTTGCACGGCCTTGTTCTGAAGAGGCAGCTGGAGCGCGGGCCGGCCGGCCTGGCGCAGCCAACCGCGGGTCCCGGGGGACGGCATTGTCCTCCGAGGGGCCGCCACGGGGGCTCCATTGTGCGCGGAGCAGGCCTTTTTCTCCTGCCCTCTGTCTCCCCCGGGCCTCCTCCCCCACCCCCCACGCAGGCTTTTCTCTCAAGCTGCCCGGATCCCCCTGCTGCCGCATTTCCAATGCAGAGGAGCGGGCAGGGCTCCGGGCTGGCCATCTGCACGCGGAGATTGACAGCGGCCCCGGAAGGTCAGTGCCTCAACGATTTCTGTCTGAACAGCAGGCCACCCAGGCCTCCCGAGCAAAACAGGGACATCTGCTCCCCTTAATTTAGAACACTGGTTCCAATTTCACCGGAGCCCCTTGCTTAACGCCGCGCTCCGGCTCCGGGGGAGGGGTCGGGGAGGGGCCGAGCAGACGCGCCGCCCGCCCCCTTGCTCCCCCGCTTCCCGGCTCCCCAGGCCCAGCAGCTGAGTCTGGCTGGGGGTCACCCACGTGACCCGGGTGACGTCGTGCGGGGGGGAGGGGCGGGCGGAGGGGCGCGCTGGTCCCCACCCCACCCCCCACTCTGGCGCCCGCGACGCCCGATTCGTCCCGGGTCTGCGGAGGCGCGGGTTGCGGCGCCCCGGGAATGGGCCGTGGGCGGCCTGGGGGCGGCGATCCGGCTCCGCGGGGAAGGTCCTGCGGCCCCGCCGCCCTGGCCCTCGGGCAGCCGGAGCTCGGGCTGCCTCAGCCTGGCCGGGAGGAACACGGGGAAGGGCAGGAAAGTTTACTGCACCGAGAGTGGGGAATCCAGCTCAGCCCTTCCTGGTGCAGGACTCTGGGCTGGCAGTTTGAAAGCCAGCGGTCAGAGGGCAAGGCCCAAATCCCGCGTGGACGGCCGACATCGAAACTCATCCTGCTTTTGCTGTTTTATATTGGGTGAAAGGATGAGAGACCTGCATTTCTGATTGTCCGCCACTAAATCCTAAGCTCCTTGACCGCGAGACACTGCATCTTAAGCATATTGCGTCTCTCGTTCCTAACACAAATGTTTGGAGACTGAATTAGCATGTGAAGTGGAGGTGGACCATGTGAGCACTGAGTATAACTGTTCTCATTCTTTATATGACAGAAAGCGAGACGTGGTGGAGAATGAACCTGCGTTTACAGCTCCGTATTAGTTAATTACTTCCCTCCCTTCCCTTTGCTCCTTTGAATGCGCCTCGGTGTGCCAGATAGCAGGCTAGCCCTACGATGCGGCCACTTTGTGAGGGGTGCTCTGTGCAAGTCAACAGTTAACCGGGACTCTGGGTGTTAAGTGCAGTAGTCGGGCGCCTCCATCTAGCCTCCAGAGAGAGCAGGAGGTCTAAGTTGAGTCTGAAGGGTGAGTAGAAGCTTATTAGGAGAGGGGCCCTCCACCCACACAAGTCCCTCTGCATGGATTTCCCCCTGACCCTGTTTACCTCCTGCTCATTTCTTCAGA